TCCACGTGGAGGACGTCTCCGTCTGGGTGGCGCCTCGTTCCTCCACTCCACGGTGGAGGCGCCACAGGAATTGTGCGTAGCCAAATTCTTCTCTTTTTTTGAATCACAGCGCCTAATACGCCTTTCTCGGGCAGACCATGGCGCTTGCCGAGGAGGTGCACTGTATTCCGCGTCTGGAGTGATTTTACGCGGAATTGTACTTCACGTAGCCTCCCACCCCAGCTGCGGAGCTGCTGGCGTGTTACATGAATGACCAGGAGCGTCTGCGCTGCGGGTTGCGCAACGAGCCCCCCGGGACGAGCGCATCTGGGATTCAGTGGAGTGAGGAGCTGCATCGACGGGTGGAGCAGCGCGCCACGGAGGATTTTTGCTGGATTCTGACGGCGGATCATAGAAAGACGGAGAAATTTTTGCAGGAAACGTACTTACAGTGGCATCACCGGGATGATTATTTAGTCACACGCGAGAGCCGAGAGAAGAAGAAGTTTCGCCAGGATTTGACGCTTCAGCAGGTCATACAAGAAGGCCAGGAACGAAATCGACGCATGCAACGACGATGATCGCAGGTAGAGGAACGCCAGGAGGAAATTGCCGTAGGAATGACAACGGAGTGGGATAATTTCACTCATGACGTGCTTCCAAGGGAAATTTGTTGGACAATAGATCGCGAGAGTGATGGAATGGAGGGGGACGTGCGTCTTTCTCGAGCAGGGACCGCAACTGGAGGGTGGAGTCGAGGTTACCGCACGCATCCAAACTTTTGTTAGCCGCCGTTAAATGAGTATGGAATTGTGGAGCGGCGATGAAAAGTTTGTTATGCGTGGATGCGCGTACTCCTCCATCGCGTTGCTTGTGGGTGGGTGCCTGCACATAAGTTCGTTTAAATTTACGGCGGCTTTCGTGGATTGTCGGGAGTCATCATTTTTTTTTTTTTTTTTTTTTTTTTTTTTGGGCTTTTGTGGGGTTTGTGGCAGCGAATGCGCCTTGGGAAACTACTGCGGGGCTACCGCACAGTTCACCCAAGAAGTATCCAGGAAGACCCGCTCGCACTGGCGGAACTTCACCGGGGAAATGGCAGGAAATGCACGGGGCCGATCGTGCTCGAGAGCCTGGATGGCGTTGCCCAGATGACGCCGGAGTTTACCGTGAGTGGTCGACAGCTGTGGAAGTCCACGAAATTACTGCGTGAAAATCGACAGCTACGCCGCTCCTTGCAGGCATGCGTGGTCGGAGGAGCCGATGCCATTCGGCGCGTGTGGCGAGACTACAAGATCCAGCCGCACGTTGTGTACGTCCCCAACACGGAGCCAGCGGTGCCCGCGTGGTGCCTGCAGGAGGAGCTTCCCAGTTGCGTCGTCTGCTGCTCCCCCGTCGACGTCAATAAAAGTTTGCTCAGTGCCGAGAGGGGGGACGGCTACGCGGCGGAGTTTCCTATCCCAACTAGCTTTTCGTTGGAAGCTTTTTTAGGATATCAGAAACCCACACGGCTTGCCTCCGTGTTGGTGCTGGTGGGCCTGCGAATTCCCAGCAACGTCGGCGTGCTCATCCGAGCTGCGGTGGACATGGGGTTTGAGAGTGTCATTCTTGATGACTGCGTGGATCTCTTTCACGAAAAGGTCCTTCGCGCCAGTGGGGGTGCGGTGTTTGCGCCAACTGTCAAAGTGTTTGAAGCGCAAGCCGCATCCACTGCCCTGTTGAACCGCGTTGCACTTGAACACCAGCTTTTGCCCTTGTTGGCGGTACCCTCGCAGGCGGCCGAACCCGCATTTAAAGTAGCCCACCGCTTGCATAAATCCAACGCGTTGAGGCGCCACAACTGTGGCTCTGGCGCGGGTTCCAACGATGACAGTTTGGGACCCATGCTGATTTTGGGCTCGGAGTCGAAGGGCCTCGCGAGTCTCGCGGGGAAATGGACGGTGCCGCACTGCATGGTTTCCCTGCAATTGCCGAATTCGTCCATTACTTCCATTAACGTGGGTGTGGCTGGGTCGGTGCTTCTCCACGCCTTCCGCCCCGCTGCGGAGAAGCACTACGCCATGTTGTCGGAAATTGCGCCCAAGGAGCCCGCCACCGCCACTGCAGGCCAGTTTCTTCTCACGGAAGTCGAAGCAGGAACGCAGAAATGATGCGCGGAAGAACGCTGCGCTGGTAGCCTCCGTCGGCTATGCGGTTTCCGCGCTAACCGTGCGCATCTCCTTTGTACTTTTGATCCCCAACTTCACGAGGCAGCACGGCTGTGACCAATTGCAAGGTGTTGTCGCGTGTGGGGCGAAGTGTCTCTTTTTACATCACGACCCTGGCAGCACTACGTACCGGCGATTCATGGAGGACTATTGAGGACTGCCCTTTCGTTCGCCCGCGAAGGCGCCTACCAATGGAGCCTACATCTGTTCACCGGTCACGCTTCCCAGAAGCCAGCTGGTATCCATCGCCTGAATGACCAGTAACCAACTCTGGCGCTGACTCCCCATGGATTGGCTGAGTAAAGTAGTTTCTCACCTCAGTGCCGTTTGCGGGCCCACAAAAACTGATGTTCTCTCCAACATCATTTTGCGTCTTTAGAATATGATTGCGCACGCCCGTCTTTTAGGCATTGAAAAAAAAAAAAAGCACGACAACTTCCGCAGCAAAGGGAATTGCTGGGCGCGTTGGATCGTACACGTGGCCCTGTGAAAACATGGGCTGAAGAGACGCACCATCAACAGCAAACGGTCCCGCAATAACGGAAGATATGAATATCATTTAGAGATTGCATGTGCCAGTCAGAAGCTTAGAATGGGACTGATATTTGGGGGACGCAAACCCAGGGGAGGGGAAACAAGGCGAGCGGGGAACGAGCAACAGGAAACAGCTTTCTGGAAAATAATTGCACGAATACCAAGAATCTACTTCTATCTTCATATGTCCTTCAGCAACGCTGGTAACTTTGACGCAGCGCTGAGCACTTGAATGCCACCACGCCATTGTGCCTTACAACCCCATTCCTAGCAGCAATGGGGGTAATTCTCTTCTGGTTTTGTTTTGTTTTTCTCTCACCGAAACCAGGAAAGAGATTGCCTTCCCAGAAGGGGCTTGCACGAGGACGTTGTGTCGTCCATCGGGTTCTTGACCGGGAAGAGCTTCTGGCGCCTAGGTGCGGAACCGTTTGACGCAGAGCAGCAAGGAGGTGACGCCGCGGCACCGATGCGCGCTGGCCACCCAGGTAGGATTGTTGGAGGGCCTGTGGCGCTGTCTGTCTGTAACCCCTGTTGCCGCGAAACTCCTGATAGGACGGGCGTCCACCTCCTCCATCTGCCGCTCACGTGATTTCTTCAGTTTCGCGTGCGCGTGAGCTGCGTGGAGTGGGGCTACCCCGAACCTCTGAGCTGTGCCGTAGTTACCCTTCCCCTTGCGGGCGGGAAGAGCGCGAGCGCGTCCTCCTTCAGTTACTTGAGAACAGCACGGGTAAAACACCGAAAATATGACGAGCGCTTGCGTCTTGGGCCCGACGTATGCTGGTACTTTCGCAGCTCGAGCTTGTCGGTGACGCCCCATGCCGCGACATGAGGGACGAGTTGATTAGCTCTTTTGGAACATGCGCCGCCAGCCGCTATACAGACATCTTGATGGTTAATCGCCCCATCGCAGCACCAGCGCCCAGTAGCCCGCATTTGTTATGAGTGAGCAAGAACCAGCAGCGTTTCCTATACCAGCCATTCTGGCGCAGGATAAACGGCACCGGGCAAAACCCCGGGGCACCCAGAACATTGTGGGAACACGCGTCGCCGTGCAGTCGGCATCGCCGCCCGCACTGCGTGGCTGCTGAATGGCGGTGTGGGCGAGAGTTCTGGTCCTTGCCTGCGGTGGAGCGTTGTGGGACTCGCTCAGGCGAAGCTCGGTTGCCGCCTCACCCAAGCAGGTAGTTTCGGCAATGCGGCGTTGCTCGCACTCGTCGAGGCGGCGGTGTGCCTATTCTCACCTGCGGGGAGTTGTGGGTGGCGGCTGGAAAGGAGCTGGCGGCGTCACCGCACCATCGCATTTGGCGCGTGGATTGTGGGGGGCAATGGCGCGTCCGCCGAGCCACCGAGACCGTCTTGAAGTTTGCCTCTACGCAGGGGAGAGGTCAAGCGAAGAGGATATCGCCCCACGGCCCATCAGCCCCGCAGGGTCCTACGGGGCATGGGGGCAATGTGGGCGGTGCAGAAATACGAATCACGTCGTGCAGGCGGC